GTCTTTTTCTACTTCCCATGTAGATTAGATCCATGTATGTCTCTCTTAGGGCCTCATTGTTGTCTAGGTTCTCTGGAATTTGTAGGCTGCTTTTCTCTGCTTTATGTTTAAAAACCACTTATGAGTGAGTATATATGATAATTGTCTTTCTGGGTCTTGGTTACCTCAATCAATATGATGTTTTCTAGCTCCATCCATTTGCCTGCAAATTTCAAGATGTCATTACTTTTTCTGTGGTGTAGTACTCCATTGTGTAAACGTACCACATTTTCCTTATTCATTCTTCGGTCAAGAGGCATTTAGGTTGTTTCCAGATTCTGCTATGACAAATAATGCTGCTATGAACAGCGTTGAGCACATGCCCTTGTGGCACGATTGAGCATCCTTTGGATAGATACCCAAAAGTGGTATTTCTGGGTCTTGAGAAAGGTTGTTTCCTAATTTTCTGAGAAATCCCCATACTGATATCCAAATGGGCTGTACCATTTTGCACCCCCACCAGCAATACAGGAGTGTTCGCTTTACCCCACAATCTCTCCAGCATAAGTTGTCAGTGTTTTTGATCTTGGCCATTCTTATAGGTATAAGATGAAATCTCAGAGTTGTTTTGATTTGCATTTTCCTGATGGCTAAGGATGTTGAGCATTTCCTTAAGTGTCTTTCATCCATTTTAGATTCCTCTGTTGAGAGTTCTCTGCTTAGGTCTGTACCAATTTTTTTAATTGGATTATTTGTTCTTCTGATGACCAATTTTTTGAGTTCTCATTTTGGAGATCAGACCTCTGACTGATGTGGGGTTGGTGAAGATCTTTTCCCATTCTGTAGGCTGCTTTTTTTTTTTTTTTTGTCTTGTTGACCATGTCCTTTTCTTTACAGAAGCTTTTCAGTTTCAGGAGGTCCCATTTATTAATTGTTTCTCTCAGTGTCTGTGCTACTGGGGTTATATTTAAGAAGTGGTCTTCTGTATCAATGCGTTCAAATATACTTCCCACTTTCTCTTCTGTGATGTTCAGTGTGGTTGGCTTTATGTTGAAGTCTTTGATCCATTTGGGCTTGGAGTTTTATACATGGTGATATATATGGGTCTATTTTCATTCTTCTACATGTTGATATCCAATTATGTCAGCACCATTTGTCAAATATGCTTTTTTCCATTTGATAATTTTTGGTTTTATGTTGAAAATCGGGTTCCATAGGTGTGTGAATTGATATCCAGCTCTTCGATTCGGTTCCATTGGCCCTCCTGTCTGTTCTTATGCCAATATCAGGCTTTTTTCAGTACTGTAGCTCTGTAGTAGGGTCGAAGTCAGGGATTGTGATGCCTTCAGAAGTTCTTTTATTGAACAGAATTGTTTTGGCCATCCTGAGTTTTTTCTTTTCCATATGTAGTTGAGTACCATTCTTTCAAGGCCTGTGAAGAATTTTGCTGGGATTTTGATGGGCTTTGTATTTAATCTGTAGATTGCTTTTGGTAAGACTGCCATGTTTACTATGTTAATTCTACCTACCCAAGAGCATGGAAGATTTTTCCACTTTCTTGTGTCTTCTTCAATTTCTTTCTTCAAAGATTTAAAGTTCTTGTCATACAACTCTTCCACTTGTTTGGTTAGAGTTACTCTGAGATATTTTATGTTGTTTGTGGCTATTGTGAAGGATGATGTTTCTCTGATTTTTTTTGGCCCATTTATCATCTACTGATAAGGAGGGCTACTGATATTTTTGAGTTAATCTTATATCCTGCTACATTACTGAAAGTGTTTATGAGTTGTAGAATTTTTTGGGGTCACTTATGTAAACTATCATATCATAAGGAAATAGTGAGAGTTTGAGTTCTTCTTTCCCAATTTGTATCCCCTTGATCTCCTTTTGTTGTCTTATTGTTCTTGCTAGGACCTCAAGAACTATAGTGAATAGATATGGAGAGACTGGACAACTTTATCCTATTCTTAATTTCAGTGGGATCGCTTTGAGTTTCTTTCCATTTAGTTTGATGTTGGCTTGCTGTTTATTGCCTTTATTATGTTAAGATATGTTCCTTGTGTCCCTCCTCTCTCCAAGACCTTTATCATGAAGGGATGTTGTATTTTGTCGAAAGCTTTTCCAGTATCTAATGAGATGATCATGTGGTTTTTATTTTTCAGTTTGTTTATGTGGTGAATTACATTGACAGATTTTCTTATGTTAAACCACTCCTGCATCTCTGGGATGAAGCCTACATTATCATGGCGGATAATTTTTTGGTGTGTTCTTGGATTCTATTTGTCAGTATTTTATTGAGTATTTTTGCATCAATGTTCATGAGTGAGATTGGTGTGTAATTCTTTAGAAACAGCACATTGCCAAACTCTTTTTGTGAGGCTACTACAGTTACCCTGATACCCAAACCAATGGTCATATTTTGAATAAATACAGATGGGATAGGGAGAGTGGAGATGGGGAAAAGAGAGAGGGAGATATATTGATTGATTGAGAGAGCCAAAGTCCTTTCAAGAGAGTCTGGAGCGTGTTTTCCACTTTAATTTTTTAAACTAGCTTCTGCTTTTGCCTTTGTGTATCTTGGCTGAATCTGTGCCTTCTAGGAGACAAGAACTAAGGAAAGTCCTTCAGCTGGTGAGAATGAAGGCTCATTCACTCTGCATTTACACTTCACAGCTCCCCGAGGGGGCATTGTTTGGGCTGTAGGTGAAATTGTGCCCTTTTGTGTCTCACTTTCCCAACTGCACTGCTAGTTTATCCCCAGTTACCCTGGAGGGACCTTCTTAGGGAATGAAGACTGTTTCTGCAAGGGTTCGATTCTGGAGCCCCAATCTGAAACAATGCCATGCAGAAACCTTCTGAATCCTGGCAGACACAGACAGGACAGGCATGTGGTGGCATAGTCACACCATGGATGAATCTCACAAATGAATCAATTCGCACAAAAACATGCGTGGCAGGGTGGTTATACAAAGACAGCAGATGCATGGCGGGGTGGTTATATAAAGGCAACGGCATGCATGGCGGGG